ATTGCAGACTCCACTGGTACTTGCAATTGCAGACTGCGCTGGTATGTATAATTGCAGACTGCACTGGTATGTGTAATTGCAGACTGCACTGGTACATGCAATTGCAGACTGCACTGGTACATGCAATTGCAGACTGCACTGGTATGTGTAATTGCAGACTGCACTGGTACATGTAATTGCAGACTGCCCTGGTACATGCAATTGCAGACTGCACTGGTACGTGCAATTGTAGACTGCACTGGTACGTGCAATTGCAGACTGCACTGGTACGTGCAATTGCAGACTGCACTGGTACGTGTAATTGAAGACTGCAATGGTATGTGTAATTGCAGACTGCACTGGTACGTGCAATTGCAGACTGCACTGGTATGTGTAATTGCAAACTGCACTGGTATGTGTAATTGCAGACTGCACTGGTTCGTGCAATTGCAGACTGCACTGGTATGTGCAATTGCAGACTGCCCTTGTACATGTAATTGCAGACTGCCCTTGTACATGTAATTGCAGACTGCCCTGGTAAATCCAATTGCAGACTGCACTGGTACGTGCAATTGTAGACTGCACTGGTATGTGTAATTGCAGACTGCACTGGTACATGCAATTGCAGACTGCACTGGTACTTGCAATTGCAGACTGAGCTGGTATCTATAATTGCAGACTGCCCTGGTACATGTAATTGCAGACTGCACTGGTACGTGCAATTGCAGACTGCGCTGGTATGTGTAATTGCAGACTGCACTGGTACGTGTAATTGCAGACTGCGCTGGTACGTGTAATTGCAGACTGCACTAGTATGTGTAATTGCAGACTGCGCTGGTACGTGTAATTGCAGACTGCGCTGGTACGTGCAATTGCAGACTGCACTGGTACGTGCAATTGCAGACTGGACTGGTACGTGCAATTGCAGACTGCGCTGGTATGTGTAATTGCAGACTGCACTGGTATGTGTAATTGCTGACTGCACTGGTACGTGCAATTGCAGACTGGACTGGTACGTGCAATTGCAGACTGGACTGGTGCGTGCAATTGCAGACTGCCCTGGTACATGCAATTCCATGGGTAGATAGACCAACCACCAAACATTATTCCAGCTCATTAACAAAATTTGCTCACCAGCCTGAGGCAGGCAGCCCAAGAGACCACTTTCCAGCAACATTCAACAATTGCAGAGTGGAGGGGAATAAACTGGGGTGAGAAAATTCACATTGAGTCCACATGTCTCCACCACATTGTGTTGCTAATAGTACCTGTTATTCGGGTTATTACTGCATACTGTACTCTGTGTGGTATTCAGTGTAACAGAGAACAGACAAACAACCTGCCTGGAGAAGGTTGATGAAGAAGTTGCTGAAGTCTTTAAATGTATAAGTCGAAATGAACTTCTCAGTTTGGAAATTAACTGTTCCTTCTCCTTTCAGGGGAAGGCAATATTCGACTAGTTAATGGCTACAATTCCTGTCAAGGCAGAGTGGAGATTAAGTACAGAGGACAGTGGGGAACAATTTGTGACGATGACTGGGGCATGAATGATGCCAAAGTCGTGTGCCAGCAGATGGGCTGTGGCACAGCGATATCTTCCACCACTAACTCTTATTTCGGATATGGCAAAGGACTGATTCTATTGGACAACGTCAACTGTGACGGGACTGAGCCATCACTATTGAGCTGTAGCAGTCTGGGATGGGGTGTACATAATTGCGGGCACCATGAAGATGCAGGAGTCATCTGTGCAGGTAATGCTTTCACCAAACCATCTGTGCAGGTAATGCTTTCACCAAACAATTTGCATGGTGGTCATTTCATTGTAAAGCAAGCCACAACTCAATTTATCATCCCTTCCCTCCCTTAAAATGAAAATATACCAGTTTTCTCTCGCTCTCCAACTAAATTCATATGGTTTCCCCTCTTGTGTTCGTGGGTGAATACGTCACTGAAGTATGAAGCATGCTGAGTATTAGTAAATGCAATGTTAATTTACGAAGCTAAATGCATTGCACAAAAAGATTTGATCATCAATGCTTCAAATCCTCTGAGACTGATTGTGGGACTCATGTGGGATTGCTTGTCTATTCTGATGCAGGGTGCTTGTAAGCGCTAAGTACATTGATGAGTATACAATTGAGCATGGGGTCTCAAACTCATCACAGGTTAGCACAAGTTTTAACTTGAAGGGGAAGGTGAGGTGCACTATGGCTGGACCAGATGCTGGAAGTCACTCCAAAAGTAATTTTGATGTGACATAAAATGGCATAACATGGGCAGAGACTCTACGATGCTGCCCTGCCTTGATATAGAGCTGCAGAAGAGGAAAGAGGCAATCAAACTGCAAAGAACAAGCAGGCCCTCCAAACAAGCCCTCAGAGGGAAAGAGGAGAAGATATCCTTTGAGTAAATGCCTTGAGGACTTGGATGCAGTGCCAGAAGATGTTCAGTCAACTTAACGTGAATCTTAGAGGTCGGTAAATGTATCATTCAATGTCATATCCCAGATACTGCTTAAGGCAGCATGGCCCAAGCATCCACCAATATCTGGTCCCAGCTTGTTCCAAACATTCATATTTCACCCTCATTCACTTAGCAGTGCGAAGGAGGTGGTGGTGGATTGGTTCGCTCGCTGGATTCATAAAATCCCGCATATGAGATGAATATTCTGTGGCTGTTGGTTTAAATCCCACCATAACAGGTGATGAAATTTGATTTTAAAAAGTTCAATTTAAGGATACTGTGTCAAATATTGTAAAAACACATGAATGCCCTTTAGGGAAGGGGATTCTGCTGTCCTTATTTGGTCTGGTTTATATGTGCCTCCAAGCCCATGGCAATATTCCTGACTTCTAAAACCCTCTGGGCAATCAGGGATGGGCAATGAATGTTGGCTGACCCAGAAATGTTTACATCCCATGAATGAGTAAATGAAAACTTCACTCCGCATCTCACAATTTACACAAATTACCAGCTGTTCAACCATGGCAGCCTCATCATCCAAGCACAATGTTCATTGACACCAGGACATGTCCTTTAATCACAAAGTCAAGGTTCTGCTCCTGGCCAGGCCCCTGATCTGAGCACCTTGGGCCTCCTAGAGCCCTGGTGATTGGACTCTGATGTACCCTCCTGTCCCAGGCCCTAAGTGACACCCTTCATCTCTCTCACATCGCCAGAGGCAATAGGGGATTTCCTGCAGTGGGGGATAGAGACTGCTCCATTTCTGTACTCCACCTACTCAAGTGATGAGTGATGGTGTTTGCCAACATTGGAGTGTCAATGGGGCTGAAGTGATTGCAGATGACAGTAGGTACAAACCTACTTGTCATTTTTCCATCCCACTTCTCCCTCAGGCTATAACCCTTCCTGCTTGCCAAGCTGATTCAACATGAACCTCTTACTCCTATCCTTGTGCCTTTCTCCTTTCAGCTACCCAAGAACTGCTTCCTGGCCAGGCAGGGGTGGAACAGGAAGAAATGGAAGACCCAAATGGCAGTAATGAAGGAAAAACACTCGCCACTCAATCTCTCGTTCTCAGCTGTTGGCTCTGACACTGTCACTGTGAACAGTTTGAAGAATATCTCTGAGATCAGATCTGCGCCATTGAATGTAGAGCAGTCTCGAGCCGGCACATCAGGAAAGGGGAGCACTGAGACCTGATCTTATACATTGGCCCTACTGAAGGAATCAGATGAGCACTTTGAGAGGGGAAGTTACAGAAAGAAGCTGATGGATTCACACAATGAAATGCTTGATGTGTTGGCCAGTCTGGCAGAAAGCCTGTGTCCAGGGTCAAGGAACATGGAGGAGTCTAGCACCAACTTGGCACAGGACATTGGCATAGAACTTGGACTCGAACACAATGCAGCATCTGCTGATTGGGACCTCAGCTTCCCCCGGAATCCACCAGAGACTGGGAGCTGTGCTGGATGCTCAGCCTGATGTCACACATGCCTAGCTCACTGCTAAGTAAACCCAGGTTTCTGCCAGGATCACTGTGGATCCCAGCGTTCTGCAACTTTCCACCAGCCACAGTGTAGTCACTGGGATCACATTTAGTAGGAGTACTGGGGCAAAGGCACAGGGAACATGGGTGATTATGTAATGCACAAGGATAATTAGTTGATGTTTGGTGTAGTTGAATTAATACATTTCATTTGGAATGTTTATTTGTGTTTTGTGGCAAATGGATACAAGAGAGATGGGAAGGTGTTGGATGTTGGGCATTTGAGGAATTGTTATTGTGTTCACTGGTACCTCAGTCAGATGTCTGATTGCTCTGGGATGGACCAGACAGAAAGGGCATTTGTTAAATGCCTCCTTTCTTCCACTCTGCTGCTCACAGTGTGGCCTGTGAAAAGGACTCAGGGTGAGCTTTTAGGAACCGTCATAAGGCCAAGGCTGAGGAACGTGCACACTCCACCACAAATCTTTACATGCGTTTTGCAGAGTCCTGCAGAGCTTACGAGAGCATCACAGATCCTGGAAGCATTATTGAAGCACCATAATTGGTCTGATCTATCACAAACCTCCTCTTGGTATTTGCAGCAATCACTAAACTCCTTCCCTCACGATATTGTGGGTCTACCTGCAGCAGGTGGACTGGAGTGGTTCAAGAAGGCAGCTCACCACCATTTTCTCAAGGGCAACTAGGGACGGGCAAGAAATGCTGGTCCAGCCAGAAAAATAAACCTCATGGATGAATTTAAAAAGAATGCAGTTCACAGTCTTGTAAATGTCACAGGTGCCAAGAAGTTAACATGAATCCACACACGTTTAAAAGCTAGAGAAAATAGGATTGTAAAACAAACTGAAAAGTATTTAGGCCCATTATGGGATCTTACTGTGTTGGATTTTATGTTCCCTGCTGGGCTTGTTTACGGTGAGGCTGTGGGATTCTGTAAACCATGTCAACGGCCAGCTCTCCCCAACTTTCCTACCCCTGCTGGACTTGTTCGCCATGGTCCAGTGGGGAGTGGAAATTCAGTAACCCTTCTGTCACTTATTAAAATTAAATAGTTAATAAGCAACTCAGCTTGTTCACAAACCCAACTAGCACAAACACTATGCTGTCCACATCACAAACTGCCTGGTGTGGGTAGACGGGTGAATTTCAGAGACTGTTTTTTAAAAATAATTTTGTGGAAAAGTTCAGATTGTCGGGGGTGGGAGGGGGTCAGTGGGATGCCTCTTTTGGGGAGGGGATGGAACCCTATCTGTTGGGGGGGTGGGGTACATTCCCTTCCCCATCCAGGATGTTCCAACCTCTTTGTTCCTTCCTGCCTGTTCTTAAAATCCTCCTGGCAGTGCCCACTCCTGCAGTTTTGACTCTGCCGGAGTTGCCAGTATGTAATCAGATTGGCCAGCCTTCCTCCTCCAGAAGGCCAGCAGTCCAGCCCTGACCTGCTTCAGGTCACCCACAGCTTGTTACTGCTTTGTCTTATTGAGCAGAATGACTTCTCTCTCCCTCCCCCACAAACAGCAGCCCTATATGTGTGTGTGTGTGTGTTGATCAATCTGAATCTGCCAATGTCCCTTTTCCCCATGTTGCAAAGTGCGTTTTTCCATTAAAAGTACTATGTAAGTACAAACCACTGCTGTAATTCTGAGCAGTTAGACTGTACATTGCTGTCAAATATCGACTCTCGTGCTCAGCATCCCACTCATTATGTGATAGTTCTTCTTTTTTTAACTTTAAGATTCTTGGGCTCCCAAAACAGCTCCAGATGTTTCGTCCATTACACTTGCTGCAGACCACACTGGGACCGAATCTACTACGAGTACCCTTCACAGTAAGAAGCCCTTTATGTAAACTCAGTAAACTTGCTGAATTCCAACTGAAAGCAATAAAATTTTCTGTAGTAGCCGAGCAACACGATCCATCAGTTCACCACTCGTGAGTGGAAAGTGGCAAAATCACCCCCTCATCTGTTGAGGTCAGAAAGTCTATATTTCAGATTGCTTTGGAGCAGCCTAGCTAGTGAAAGCAGATTTAAAAATAACTTCTGAAAGGGAATTGACTAAAAACTTAAAAGGGAAGCATTTAAGAAGGAGCCAGTGAGCAAACAGACAGGAGAATGGATTAATTGGATAGCACCTTCAAAGGGCCAGCATGGACACAATGGTGCAAATGGCCTCCTCCTAAACTGTGTCATTCTATTGTTCCGAGCAGTCAGCTGATTGTGTCAGGTGACATTTGGGCAGTCTTTCAGTTCAGTGCTTTGCATTGTGGGAATTACTGCCAAAGTCGATATTTATGACCCATCCCTAATTGCCCTGAACCGAGTGGCTTGCTGAAGCCATTTCACAGCCAACCACATTACTGTCTAGAGTCACTTGTAGGCTAGACCAGCTAAGGATGGCAGACTTCCTTCCTAAAGACAAATGGGCATTTACAATATCAATGATAGTTTCATAGGACTTAGACCATAACACACGAGAGCACAATTAGGCCATTCAAGTCTGTTCTACCATTCAATGAGATCATGATCTGATTATCCTCACTTCTGCTCTCCTACCTCTTCCCTATAACCCTCGATTCCAGTATTGATTAAAAATCTTTTTCAGTTTTGAATATACTTAATGACCCAGCCTCTGCAGTAAGGAATTCCACTTGTTTACAGTGCCATGATTATTAATTGAATTTAAATACCACCAGCTGCCTTGGTGGGATTTGAATTCATGGATAGTTTGGCCTGTACGTTGCTAGTCTAGTTATCTTGGCACTGTGTCATTGTTTCCCCTCAAGCAGGATGGAGCAGAATTTGGAAATATGCCTACCTGCTTCCCCAGTGAGTGAGCTCTGAGAGCAGAGGAAGGTCCAGCTACAGCAATAGTCTTCATTTCTCCAGAGCTACAGGCAGGAGAACTAAAATCCAGCCCATTTTCCTCAACTAAATCACTGTCCAGTCACTGTCTAGTCACTGTCCAGTCCCAGCTGAGAATATTGTGCCTATGGCTGTAGTACAATGCAGGATGCAGTCAATTTTGAGGCCTCTGTGAGGAAACCAGCCATTGACACTCAGTCCCAGATATGTACAGAGTTAGCATCTCCAAGCTGGGAGCTGGAACTGCGGTCAGAAAATCTGGAAGTGCAGGTTTCCCTGAACAGTCTGAAGTTTAACTTGAGGGCCTTTCAGAATACATTATTGATGTGTTTTCCAATGACTAGCCTGATTAATGTCCAATAGGAAAGGCTGCAATTTGGTTTTGTGGGGGTGAGGTGGAGTGCTGGAACGGAGTGTGGGTGGGATATGCAATTGTGTTTGAGATTGAGATGGGTGGGGGGGGCGCGTGAGGTGAAGACAGTATTGAGCTGGGAGGAGCAGTATTGAGCTGGGGACAGTCACTGATGATGGTGTGAAGGAGTGGTGATAGCAATGGGGTCAATTGGAGATCTTGGAACTGGCAGATCAGACTCATCATGGAAGGGGATTTGTTTACATGTTTACCATCTTGGACCTGGAGGAAAGACGCGTTCTCCCCCTCGGGCAGCTCTGCTTAGACTCAGTCCTTATGTATCTGACCTTTCCTGCCCTCTATTGAAACTTTATTAAAAAATGCTAACACGCAGCCTCCTCATAAAGGTTCAATAACCAATCCTGCTGTTAACAGTGATTCACTTTGTACCCAATTTCCCTTATCCTCCAACCTCACCAAACCTGGCCCACTGCTTCTGCTCGGGTTCAACTTCAAAGTGTTTAACTTTGCCCAAATCCAGTTATTTCTGGGGCTGAAATTTACCAAGAGACTGAAGGTTGAGCAACCCTGGCTGGGTGAGAGGTAAGGTAATGTGGCCATAGTCCCACAGGACCATAGGGCTGTTCTCTCAATAGAGAGAGACAACTGGGGGTGGTTTAACCTGAGGGTTACCACACCTCAGGAGAGGGGAGAGGCTGAGAAAGAGAGACCTTTGTAATCAGTTGGTAGGATAAACAGACAGAGCCTGCTGATTCCAGACTTCAGAGAAGATGGGAAAAGGAATCCAGACTCCCTTTTTTACATATAAGTTGCTGTCTCTTCAAATTGTTCAAGGAGTACAATTAATGAAATCTCATTCCGTTTAGTTACAGATGTGACAGACCATGTTTCTGAACAGCTTACAACCACGAAACTCACAACTCCCCAGACTGGTAAACTTAACAATTTTTCATTCAATTAAGATTTAAAGTTGTTGTTGTCATGTCAGCCACAATAAGTTGTGGCTCAAATTAAACGTATTATTGTGAAGGCTTGAGACTGTAAGAAGTGAGTAAGTAGCTTCCTGCTTCTTCTGTGGGCCGTGTGTAATCTACCCTATTATAGATTCTTGCTGCACCCATTTCATTTCCTGGGAAAATGCTCAGCTGAAGTACTTCCTAAACATTGAAAATAATGAAACAAACCTCTAGCATGTCCATCCACTTGTAATGTTTCCACAATGTTTGACCCACGTCTGTTGCCCCGAACCTGCATGTTCACCTCTGTCCAGTAAGGCAGGATCTGCTTCAATTTACACCTTTTGGTGAATTAGTCATAAGTGTGAGACAAATAATCAGAGACTGTTTTCTGAGTTCTGGAACATGCCCAGAAAGGCAGCCCCCAGACTTAAGGCCTGGGCTGCGATGTTAAGATGAGCCGTTATGACCTGTCAGGGCCCCATGGACTGATCGTCCCACAAGGGGAATGAATGTGTCACCTCCACATACAAGATTCGCATGTCCCTGGTGAGGTGCTAGGTCTGGCAAGAGTTGGGCCTATTGCATTGGGTAGGGGAATGGCAGGGGGTGGTAGGGGGAGTTAGGGGGGAGTATTTGAACCTTTCTGAATCCAGAAATCAAGATAACCTCAACCTGCTGAGCAGGAAACGATTTCTCAAGAGGTCCATCAACTAGCCTTAGGGCAAACGTTTTGCCCACTGTGACCCCATTTTGGAGCTTGGAAATTGTCATGACCCGTTGCTGAGAGCTCTGAGGATATTGGGGTGGGAGCAGGTGCTGTGCAGGAGCAGAGTAATGAGAACAGAGACAGAAAAAAAAGCTGTGGGTCAGGAGGGAGAGGGGCAGAGCTCCACGACGGTCATTACTGCCTCAGAACACCCACCCAGATCACAGCTTGTAATCCCACTTAAGACCCCAAAGCCCCATTTGGAACATCCTTCCTTAGGCCCCTCACTAGCCTTTTAGAGAACCTCATTCTACTTTAGGGAATCCGAACAGAGGACAAAACCCTGTGCATTTAGCAGTGGGACCGACATTTAGACCTCAGCATGTCCTACCATTAAACTGAATCGTGCTTGACTCAAAAGCAAAAGAAAATGTATTAATGCTGGGCGGTTGTAAGAGGCTAAATGTGAATATAAATTTCCTTGGGACTGTCCTTCCCTTTCCTGATTAAAGAACAAGATTGCAATCATCTATTGGTTGATTTATTTGAAAGCAGTGTTTAAAATGCTCATTTAAAAGTGAGGACTGAACACTGATAATCATCTGGGAATGTTTTCAGCCAGATCCATCCGTCTGGTGAATGGTAACAACAGCTGTCAAGGCCGAGTGGAGATTTTCTACGGCAACAATTGGGGAACCGTGTGTGACGACGAGTGGAATATTAAAAACGTGGCGGTGGTCTGCAGGCAGCTGGGATGTGGGGGCGCCATTACAGCAACCGAGTTGAGCTACTTCGGCTATGGCCGTGGCCCGATATTGCTGGACAACGTGAACTGTGAAGGAACAGAGGCGTCCTTGTCAGACTGTTTTAACCTAGGCTGGGGAAAGCACAACTGCAGACACCACGAAGATGCTGGTGCTATTTGTGTAGGTAAGGCTGGCATCGATAGCAGCATACTGTGATTGGAAAACAACCAATCACAGCGTTCTTTCAAGGCCAGCATGTCCCAAGGTGCTTCGTGCCCAATGTTCCATTGCTGTTGCAATTGTCACTTCAATGTGGCAGCCATTTTGCACCCAGGGAGGCCTAACTAATATGCTCTTACTATTGACCAGACCAGAACCCCTCAAAATATTTTTACAAGGCAGCCTCGACCCTAACTTTTTCTCATTCTAAAGGTAGATGCGAAGTGCCATGTTCTAGATGTAATGCGACTGATCAAACTACTCGACGTTAAGCAAAACACAAATAATTTAAACACTACACAAACAAAAGAAAGAGGAATTTAAAATAACTTAACTATTGGAAAACTTAACAGAATAGCAAATATAGTAACTATTACTAATTAACTGTTTCCAACATAGTAATATCCCATAAACACACCCTGTGGTAAAAAGGCAAATTAACACACAGATTCTCACATGCAGTTCTCTAATCCAGGAGGGTAAAAACATCAAGAAAATTCAGAGAAATTAACAGCTAGGAGATATTCACTGAAGTTTCCAACTCTTTTGAGACCCCAAAAGCTTCTTCTCAAAACTAAACTGAAAAACTAAAAAAAACTAGAAAGCATGGTTTGTGAGAGCTGGCCACACCCAGGCTGCTTCCAATATTCCAACTGAAAAGAAACCCCAAGGCCTCGCAAATTGTTTACTTTCTTAGAGACCTCTGCCTAACAAGCTGTCTTTGAAAAAAAACCAGGACAACATAACCTCTTAAAGTGACAGCATCATCACACTCGGTCAGTACTGGTTTGAGGGATATGTATCGAATAGGACAACAGTTTGCTTCTCTTGGACAGAAGTGCGACAGGATCTCCCATATGCAGCCCAGAGGGTGGAATATTTCATCCAAAAGACGGCACCGCACCCCCCCATCCCAAAACAGAGCTGCATTCCTGCAGCCTCAACCAAGTGCCAAAGGAGATCTAGTGCTTGAGCCTCTGGAGTAGGGCTTGACCCCATAACCTTTGAGCACAGATGTCCAAAGATGTCCAGGTCTGGTAGATTGGCCATGCTAATTTGCCCATAGCATTAAGGGATGTGCAGGCTAGGTGGGTTAGCCATAGTAAATGTGGGGTTACAGGGATGGAGTCAGGAGGTGGGATGTTCTTCAGAGGGTCAGTGCAGACTTGATGGGCTGAATGGCTTCTATTTGCGGTTTAGGGGGTTCTATGATGATCGTGTGAACTCATAGATGAGGCTTCTACCACTGAGCCCAATCAACAGAGTGCCTTTGATGCAGAAAACATCTGTGTGTTCACAAATGCTGACTTGTAATGCACTCTGAATGTAGAATTCGTAGATGAGGACATGAGGTGAACCTTGGTTGAGAAGTCTTTTAAAGCTGTAAAATGGTGTAAGGAGTGAGTGTCAAGGAGTGGGACAGATGTAACTGAAGGCTTGCAAAATGAGCTGAGTAGACAGGCTAATGACTGAAGGGAAGGCTGGCATTATGGGAAGACAGCATTCAGGTGGCAATTAGGGATTGGAGGTGTTCACAGTGACAGCAAAAGGCAAGGACATGGAGAGATTTACAAATAAGGACTATGAATTGTGGACAAATGGTCACTTTGCAGTACAGAACTTGAATATTATTGAAGAAAGAAACATCTTTCTGAAAGTTTTTGTCGTGCACTCACTAGAACAAATGCAAGAATGGCAAATTTCAAATTACCATAGGAATTTATAGCACAGCAGGAAGAGTGCTGATTGGTTCATTTATGCCCTCTAGACGTGGCATACCCTCATACATGGGGATCAACTCTCTACAAGCAAAGGAATACGGTCAAGCCTTGTGTCTTTTTGAATTCCTTGGGAGCCTTCTGTTTTCCCTTTGCATTCTCCATGGAAATTCCTCGGCCAATTAGAATCAACGTGCTAACAAATCAGCACTCTTTTCTCCTATTGTAGAAATTGTTGCAGCTGTTTGAAATTTGACATTCTCGTATCTGTCTGATGAGTGCAAGACAAATGTTTCAGCTTCCTGTCTATTTTAGCAGTTAGCAGCATTTGCAATAAGGAACAGAATTATATTCGAGTTCATGAGATTTAACTTCTAAAAATGATTTTTTTACCACCTTATGAAGTTTCTCAGTTAGTATATTAATTCCAGTGGACCTGGTTTGCAGATGCAGGTCAGTGAGATTCACTCTTTTCATTGCCTGGGTTCCTGCCAAACACAGAATTCAAAGGGTCCATTTGCATCTAGCTCATGTCAGCCATTGCAATGCAGGAATGAAAAGGTGGTGCATTGGAGTCTGGTTTTATATCTCTTTGCCATCATAAGTGCCATATATGGGGGAGAAATTATTGGCTGGTGAGCCATTTTACTGGCTCAACATCACTAACCACCACTCCTTTCAGCTCTCCTCTCCTTTCTTATGACATCCTTTCCTGTCTCTTCCCATATCCCCTTCATCCTCCCTCCTCTCCCTGCCCCTCTTTTTCCTGTCCTCATCCTTCCCCTCTTTTCTCTTCCCCTCTCTCTCCTCTCTGTGCCCCTCACTCATCCCCTCGCTCATCTCCTGTCTTTTCCACCTCCCCTTGTCTCACTGTTCTTCCTCTCTTTTCCCTTCCTCTTCCTAACCCCTCTCTCTTCATTCTTCCTCTCCCTCACCTCTCTTGCCCCATCTATCTCCTGTCCTGTCCCCAACCCTCTCCTCACCTGTGGAATTTGCTCCCTTCCCTTTAGTCTGAACATCTACCCACTTTACATAATGAAACATACATGTTTCTTAAGGGCACTAACAGACGTGGGAAGTTTATTTCCCCTTCTGGGAGAGTCTAAGAGCAGAGGGCATCATTTCAGAGTAAGGGGGTCACCTTTTTAAGACAGAGATAAGGAGGAATTTCTTCTCTTTGAGGGTAGTGAATCAGTGGAATTCTTTACCATAGAGGGCAGTTGAGGTTGGGTCATTAAGTATATTCAACTCTGAGATAAACAGGATTTTAATCAGTAAGGGAATCAGGGGCAAAGACAAGAGAGTGGAGTTGAAGATTACCATATGAGCCATGATCTCATTGAATGACACAGCAGACTCAATGGGCTGAATAGTCTACTTTTGCTTGTACATGCTATGGTTTTCCGGCCATCAAAACAACACCATGGGATATTTGCTACCAATGTATTTTAAAAATGGCCTGGATGTTTCCCACTTCCTGTAAGTGATACATGTACTTTCGGCTTTCATTATCACACATTGCTGATTGGCTCATAGTAAGGCAGCCGCAAATTAGAAAGGAGGGGATATAAAAACTGTGAATCGAAAGTTGAAGTTTGTGTGCGTGGATTAGGAAATCAACCACAATCATCGAAAGGTCATTCATGGCGAAATAGCTTGGTTAACCATAAGTAACAACAAGGAACCCTGCCAGTAAAGTGTAAGAAAACTAAACAACCAGAGAACTAAGGGACTAGCATGAAATACAGCCCTAAAAGATCAAATCATCTGAAAGGAAATGATACAGGATTTTGCTTCAGCATCTGCTGTGTATATTCTGTTGTCCCAGGGAATTCCAGAAAAGAAGCACTTGGAAGGCCTAGTATTTGGCTGTGTTTCAATATTCTGCATGAACAAACAAATCTGTGTGGATAGGAATTGAGGTCCCCAAATCACCAGACAGTTCACGAGTCACTAACGGAGACCTGTATTTCATTTCAGAGTATAAAACTCCTGAGGTGACAGGTTCTGGCAAACAAGCACCAGTAATAACCACGACAAGGACATCACAAGCACTGAAGACAGCAGAAGGTAACACACAAAATATTCAGTAACTATTGAACTATTTCAGAAGCTTTTAGCAGTGAGCAGTGGGCTCCAGTAACCATGGGAACATAGTGTGATCATCTTGTTCAGGCAATGTTCTTGAATTAAGTGATGAATGCATCAGTACTGGGTTCATACTCATTGCTAAACTGTCTATCTTTTGTTCCATTATGGCTATCATACCTCACCCCTAACCTCTCTGTCATTCTTCAGCAAAGTGCCTTGATTGATTGTGCTCTGTGTCTGCCTCCATTCCCAACCTGGGAATCTCTTATCGACTTGATTGTGTGTGTGTGTGTATGTTTGTGTGTCTGTCTGTCTCTGCCTGTCTGTGTGTTCACAAAGTGACTGCATACGTACAGTTGCCATTTTCTCTATGTACACGTTGCACGTCTTAACAAAAATTTGCTTTGATATTTAAGCTCAAGACATAAAAGCAAGTGGAAAGATGCATTATGCTAAAAAAAATGCATTCTTTCGGGAATCTATTTTTTGTCCATTTTTTGACTTTTTTTTCACAAGGTGTTGGACATATATCAGCAGGTCTGGCAGCATCAGTGAAGGAAAAAGCAGGGTTAACTTTTCGGGTCCGGTAACCCTTCCCCAGAACTGTTCCGAGGTCGGGTCACCGGACCCAAACCGTTAACTCTGTTTTTTCCTTCACAGATGCTGCCAGACCTGCTGAGCTTTTCCAGCAACTTTGTTTTTGTTCCTGATTTACAGCATCCGCAGTTCTTTCAGTTTTCATTGGACATATCTGCTTATTTCAACAATCTGAGAGTGTACTCGATTCCCTTGCTGTGCTAGTCAAATGCCTCTACAGAGATGTAGAGAATGTTTCTTGGTCACTGTCGTTTGTTGAGGAGGTTGTTGCATGTTTGATTTGGCAGGTTCTTGTGGCAAGGTTCCAACACACACTTTAACTCTCTCTCTTCATCCTGGTGGCTTTTGTTATACATACATCTTGCGTTTGGACCTTTTTCAATCTGAAGGTGCGCAAGGTTATTGACTGGCAGCAAGTAAATGCGAATGTACTAATTCACACAGTGCAGCAAATTGGATTCTCCAAATGGTTGTGTTTGCAGACATAACCCCAATGTAATCGCATTGCCTGTGGCATCACTGCCAATGGGATTCTCGCGTCAAGGAATGCGACCAAGAAAATACAAATGTGCGAACGTATAAGATAGACCATTCAGTCCCTCAGGCTTGTTCTGCCATTCAATAAGATCATGGCCAATCTGTTTGTATTTTGATTTCCTATCCACCCTAATCACCCTCAATTCCCCTGGCGAACAAGAATCTATCCTCACCTACCTTTCAACTACTCAATAACCCCGAACTTCACCGCTTTCTGAAACAGTAAGTTCCAAACTCTCTCTATCGAGAGAGAGAGAGAGAGAGAGAGAGAAACAAATTCTCCTTATCTCTGTCCTGAAAGGATGGCCCTTGACCCTTCATTTCAAAACCATTCGCCCCACCCCAACACAAAAGGAAACATCCTGTCCCTTCCCATCTTACCAAGACCATTCAGGATCTTACACATTTCAATTGAGTCATCCCTCAATTTTCACTTGTAGAGTGTTCATTCATGGACAATATTGAAACATGGCCAAATTCTTGGGTTTTCCATGTGCTTCATATGCTTAAGAATCAATTCAAATCTCAGGGTCACTATTTACTCACTGCTGCACTCCCAACACTTGTCCACCCGTTCCCCAGCCCTCTTTGCTTCCCACCCACTCACTGCCTTACTCACTCGCTCTTCACTGTTCTCAGGAACAAGGAAGAAGGGATGAGCGGGACAGGTGCTGTGATGTGGTGAGGAAGAGGTGGCTAGGGAGATAGCAAGCCTGGTGCCAAGTGGGGGAATGGTGTGCCAAGCGGAGCAGCGAGTGGAGTGAGCTTGGCGTGGCATCTTTGAGTATTGGTACACCACCCATGGGTATATTGATGGATTTGGCACTGCCTCCCAGTTCTAGGCATATCTCAACGGCAGCAGATCTGACTTCCTGTTTCATTATAGTGGTAGGGGATTACAGAATACTTGAATAAATACATTCCATTTCTTGTTCATATTACAAATCTATCGAAAAAGAAAATTTCTTCAATTGATACTTAAAACTATGGTGGTTGTTTTCCTTTTGACTTAGTGCTACATTCATAGTGAGAAATGGAATAGCAGGCAGAATAAATTTTACAATAGTAGCAACAGTAACTTAGGAATAATTTATGTAGCACATTTTAACACAGTGAAATATCTTCAGGTGCTGCACAAAATAAAAATTGTGTTGGACTCCAGACCACTTAAGAAGATGCTAGGAGAGGACCCCAAAAGCTAGTGCAAAGATATACTTTTTTTAAAAGAGTATTCGAAAGTAGGAAAGAGAATTAGAGAAACATTTAGCAAGGGAATTTCTGAACTTAGGGCTTTCACTTGAAGGAAGAGTTCTGGGCCTCAACCCAAAGACGACATCTATCTGATCCAGTAAGTTAACAATGTGCCACACATAGTCTCTATAATGCCTTTTATATTTGATGCATAACCACCTTACTTTTGTATTAAATTCCCCTTGCAATAAGTAATATTCTATTAACTTCCAAATTACTTTCTGTACCCAGATCTCTCTGCATCTTTAATCTTGCACCATTTATGTAATATACTTCTTTTCATTCTTCCTGCCAAAATGGACAATTCCCACCTTTCCCGACAATATAATCTACTTGCCAATTCTTTACCTATCCATATCACTTTGTGGTCATCTTATGTCCTCTTCATAACTTATTTTCCTATCTATCCTTATGTAATCCACACATTTTGCAACCATACCTCAGTCCTTCCATCTAGATCATTTATACAAATTATAAAAAGGTGTGCCCCAACGCTGATTCCCATGGTACACCACTCATGAGATCCTTCCAGCTAGCAGATTTTTTATTAAATTCATAAATATAATGGGATGAGAGTGTCTCTGACCAGGCAGCATTTATTTCCCATCCCTAGTTGCCCAGAGGGCAGTTCAGAATCAACCACATTGCTGTGAGTCTGGAGTCACATGTAGGAGAGACCAGGTAAGGATGACAGTTCTCTTCCCTAAAGGACATTAGTGAACCAGATGGGTTTTTACGACAATTGGCAATGGATTCTTGGTCATCATTAGATTCTTAATTCCAGGTATTTTTATTGAATTCAAATTCTACCATCTGCTGTGGTGGGATTCGAACCCAGGTCCCCAGAACATTATATCTGGCCCTCTGGATTAACAATCCAGCGATAATACAACCAAGCTATCGCCTCCCCAGATGTCTGGGTAATGCCTGTTTCCTGTTAACTAGTCAGTCTTCTATCCATGCCAATATACTATGCCCTACACCATGAGCTTTCGTTTTCTGCAATAACCTTTGAAGAGGCACCGTCTAAAAGCCTTCTAAATACAGTAGATCCACGGGCTTCCCTTATCCACATACATTCCTTCCACAAAGAACTCCAATAAATTGATTAAAAAATTTCCCTTTCACAGAATTATAATCACTCTACCTGATTACCTTGTGTTTTTCTAAGTGCTCTACTATAATGTTTATAATAGTAACTCTCAAAAGTTTCCCCATGATAGATGTGAACTATCATGTACACGCCTAATTGTCCTGTAGTTTCCTGCTTCATGTTCCCTTTCCCTTTTAAATGAAGAAAATATATATGCATTTTTATTTTTTTTTAATTAATTCAGGGGATGCCTGAGCCAGCATTTATGGCCCATCCCTAATTGCCCAAATCGAGTGTTTGAGAGGTGGCTCCTTAAACCGTTGCAGTCCACCTGCTGTGGGTAGACCCCCAATGACCTTTGGGAGGGAGTTCCAGAATTTTGACCCAGTGACAATGAAGGAACAGTGTTATATTTCTATGTCAGGAAGGTGAGTGGCTTGGAGGGGAACTTGCAGGTGGAGGTGTTCCCATGTATCTGCTGCCGTTATCCTTCTGGATGGAAGTGGTCATAGGCTTGGGAGGTGCTGTCTAAAGAACCTTAGTGAATTTCTGAAGTGCATCCTTGTAGATGGTACACACTGCTGATACTGAGATGGTTTTAGCAAGTGAATGTTTGTGGATGTGGTGCCAATGAGACGGCTGCTTTGTCCTGGATAGTTTCAAGTTTCTTGAGTATAGTTGGAGCTGCACTCATCACACTCATGACTTGTGCCTTGTAGATGGTGAACACCTTCTGGGGAGTCAGAAGGTTAGTTACTTGCCATAATATTCCTAGAACACAACCCGCTTTTGTGTTTATTAACCTTCCTGATTACCTGCTGCATCTGTGTACTAACTTCCTGTATTTTGTGCAAGTCCCTTTGTTTTGCAGCTTTCTGCAGTTTCTCAGCTGTAATTTTTAAAAATTCATTCACAAATAATATCCTGTTATTTTGTTCTTCCTTCCAAAATGAGCAACTTTGCATTTTCCCACATTCTACTACATTTGCCAACTTTTTGCCTACTATCAATATCTCTCAGTAAACTATTTTTATCCCTCTCATAACCTGTCTTTCTGACAATTTTTGTGTCATCTGCAAATAAGGCTGCAGTACACTCACTTCTTTCCTCCAAGTCATTAGTATGAATTGTAAACAACTTTCTTTCAAACTCCCATTATCTCTCCCTTTGCAATCTTTCTAACTGTGCGGTCACTGTTCATTGCTTCTTTATACCAATCCCACAAATGACTTCATCCCTATTCATTTCGCATCTCTCAATCTCTCAAAGTGTTTCTACACCCTAGTTACCTGAACTCAGGTCATCCCATTCTATTGTGCTAATGACAATGCTAAGTATTTGGGCCAGGTGTTCATGGTTTCTGATCTTCTTGTGCTTCCTAAATGTGATATAGCCTTCAATATTCAGATCCCAATGCATACCATCTTGCTGCCATGGCTCTATAATGAATACCAGGTCATATTTATTTCATTCTATTTGGGCTATCATTTCCCCGTTATCT